TCAAGCCCAGGCCAGACAACTTAGAGAGACCTTATCTCAAAATAAAAAGTAAAAGCCAGGCAAGGTGGTGCACACCTGTGATCCCAACACTTGGCAGGCTGAGGCAGGAGGATCACTGAGCTCGAGACCAGCCTGAGCTACAAAGTGAGCTCAAGTCCAGCTCAAACTGCATAGTGAGACCCTGTCTCAAAAAACAAAACAAAACAAACAAACAAATAAATAAATAAATAAGGACTGGGGATGTAGCTCAGTATTGGGTGGGTAAGGCTGTCCAAGAACATAAACCTAGGCTCGCTTGAGGTGGGAAGCTAAGGCCAAGACACTGCAGAAAACCTGGACTTTGGACTATTTTCTGTAACAGGGAAAATTTACTTTTTCATGATTAGAAAGCTACTTTGTCACTGCCTGTACACTGAAGATTTTAAAGCAAAAATCTCCCCACAGCTTCGGAAATCACAGATCTGTCCTTACTCGGGGCTTATGTCATCACTTGTTTGAAGGTCCGGAAACCCAAGGGCTGAGAAGTGAACAAAGCATCCCTCTAGGGTTGGTCACATGTGACAGAAGCAAGAATGACCCCTCAGATGACACAGCCTCAGGCCCGGACACAGATGAGGGTCTACAATGAGGGTGTCTTGCTGATGGCCCCAAGATCACTGGCTGGAGGATAAGGGAAGTCAGGCTGGGGCCCCTGAGAAGCTGGAGAGGCCCAGATGAGCATCAGGCCCTCAAAGAAAAAGAGCCAACTTGGGGAGCTCAGGGGTAGCAGCAGAAGGGGGCCCCTGGCTCAGGGGACAGGAAGAGCAGCCCAGTGCTCTATGAAAGCATCTAGGAGACAATGTTGGAGAGGTGAGGGGCGGAGAGAACAGCAGCTTCAGCTTGGGCTCGGGGTTTCCCAAGGCCAAAGGGAGAAGTCATTTCTAAGGGGACAGATCCCAGAGAAGGGCAAGTGGGTCTATAGCTCTGGTTATAGGAATGGGAGGCACAATTCTAGCTCTGGCCGCAGCTGGGAAGCTCTGCAGGGCAGCTCTCCTGGGGAGGCTGGAGGAGCAGGCCGGGCTGGCCAGGGCCACCTACCTGTGTGCCTACCAGAGGCCAGCGGATCTCCTACTCTGCAGGAACACGGCTGTGGCTTGGGGCAGCCCTCCCAGCAGGCCTGCACGCATGGGAAGAGAACCCTGCAGAAGGGGAGAGGCCAGAGAGACCCCCAGCTCTCCTAGGGAAGGGGCTTACGGAATGAGCCGCCTGCCTTGCATCTTACCTTCATCTTCTACAGTAGCAGGTGGAAGGGCTGAGGGTGGCACTCAGTGCTTGGCACCAGTGAGGCCCTAGGCGCAATCCCCAGGGCCAAAACAAAAGAGAAAGAATTTGGGAGCAGGTGTTCTTTCCCCAACATTCATTCTCATTTAGTTTTATGAATAATATGTTCATTGAAGAACATTTTTTAAAATGCAGAATAATATTTTCTGATTCTCATTTGCATCCTGTTTACTTTATTCCATTCTTCTCTGCTGTATTGGCATCTTACTATATTATAGGCCGGAATTCTTGTTTTTTCCAATTCGTTGACATAGGAGCATGTGCCAGTGTTTATCCAACTACAGAATGAAGTGTCATGCACCGTTGTTCACAGCTACATTAATGACATGGGACAGCTTGACAAAATGCATTTATGCCACTTCCTAGTGCTGAATGTTTAGCTGCTGCTCACTGCTTGCTATCTTGCAGGAGAACCATAGTTAGCTATATCGTCTGTCGTTCAAGGCCCAGTTTCAGTCCCACCTCCTCTGAAAAGCTTTCTCTGACAATTGCAACACCCAGCAATATCTCCTTCCCGAGGACTACGACAACCCGTGATTATCTGACATAGCTTAGCACACAGTCATGCGTCACTCTCTGCTCTCTGTCTCATGGGTGTTGTCTCAGGTCCAGAACTCTACTGCACACATCCCTGGCAGCTCCCCAGAACGCTGCACTCGACAGGTACCTAATATGCACTGGTTTCCTAAAAGCCCAGACCCCTTAGACTGTATGAGCCTGCTCAGCTCTGCTTTGCAAAGCCAGGACTGTAGGAGCCCACAGAGGCCCAGTCTGATATTTTGCTTCTTTTCTGCTCACTATAAAAAGTTCCTCTGCTGTCCAATCCTAACTTTAGTTCACTGTTTTTATTTATTTTTTTATTGGTATGAGGGATCGAACTCATGACCATGGACTTGCAAGGCAGGCACTTATGCCACTGAGCTAAATTGCCAGCCCCTCCAATCCTAACTTTAAAGGCCCAGTCTCTGCCACACAAAAGCCTTGAACTTTGGCCAGGACCACTGTGATTAGAGCTGTCCCAAGGAGACAGCTTCACGACACCGAGGAATGGTGATTACCCCCACCCACCTCCATACCAGGTCTGCACAGTGGGGTGAGACTGGTGCCATACAACTGGGGCTCCAACCCCAGGTGGTCCAGCAGGGCAGCTGAGGCCTGGCTTGACTTCCCTAGGGGGCACACACCTAGGACAACACAGGGCAGCTGGCACAGAAAGCCCTACCTTGGGAACCCCACACCCTTTCCCTGAGAAGGCTGCCTACTCTTTCCCAAAAATGCCTGCCTGGCCCATCGGGGCAAGAGTTTGTAATTTCCAGCCCAAGTCCAGCCTCCCCAGCATGGCCTTCCAGGCTATCTGCCTGCTGGCCCACCCCTCACTGCCTGTCCCATGCTGCAGTGACAAGGGACACCTGTGCCTTCTCTGCTGCCTCCTCCCCAGCGAGCCTCCCCTGCCCCACTCCTCTGCTGCTTGGTCCATGTGGATGTAATGAAGCCACATATGTCCCTTTGTCCTGTGACATCTTAAGATCAGAGTAGGTGGCACGCCACAGGTATTTATTACTTTGTACTATACTTCCTGGTCAAATCAGGGTGCAGCAGGCTCAGCAGAGGCCTCGCTGGCTCACACCTGGAGGAGGTAGGTTTCAGCCATAGAGCATTTAGGGCTCCAGCTTTGGGGGATGAGAAAAAGTTAAAAACAATAGCTGCCCTTTACAGAGCTCCCTGCAAGCCATGTATCTTAGTCACTACCCTGATGAGGCAAGACGCAATCTCCATCCTCATTCATAGGTGAAAAACAGGGTCAGGCAGGTTAAGCAGGCCACTTAGGTACCAGGCTAGGAGGTGGCAGAGTGGAGATTCATACCCAAGCCCCTATCACCCTGGCTGCCTATCAACCACAGTATCAGTATGGCAGAGAGCCCTGAACCCTGAGGTAGGCACAGCCATATTCAGAACCAGTGCAGCAATCCAGAATATTTTACCTAGAGGCCACAGCCAACTGTTCACCAGTCCAAGGATCCCCAAAAGCAGAGGCAATCTTCAAGTCTGTTCACTGGTAGAACAGACGCCTGACTCTCCTTGGCTGAGTGTAGCAAGCACCTCTGTGCTGTTCCTGACACCGCCTTGGGCTTTGGAGTGGGGCAGGGAGGAAGGGGTAAAAGACCACAGGTTCTCTGTCCTCTGGGAACACCGAGTGAGTGGTACGGAGGAGGACAGGAGCAAGGGACAAAGGCCAGGGCTGAGGGCTTCCTGGAAGAGACAGTAACCAAGCCAATCCTGAAAGGTAAGTGTCTCTGTTTCCTGGGCCATCCCCTGATTCAAGAGTTGTTACAGTTGATATATTGTGTCAACATGAGAAGTTTAAAAATTTAACTAAGAGATCAGCAGGAACCAGGATCCTTGCTTTGTAAACATCCTCATACTGGGCAAGAGGAGGGCCCAGAGATTCTGAGAGTGCTACATGTGCCCTGGGGCTCATGGGAGTGGCCCGCACACAACATAAGGAAGGAAGAGAGGTTTATTCTTCCTCCCTTTTGCTCTAGCCACTTTTACTGGCTGCTGCCTTGAAGTGTTGCCCCAGTGCCACGCCACCCTGCCTTGGAGCCAGCTGATAATGGACTGAAACCTCTAGTAACCAAGATACTGGCTGTTCACAGCACCGCTCTAGCTTCCCATCCTCACGGCGTGCCTCTGCTTCAGCAGTACCTATCATGGAAAAATGCTCCTTTGCCAGATACACACTGCTACCTGCCTGTGAAATTCCACCCTGCCTGCCTCAGGCCACCCATCCATCGCACTATCATCCCCAAGGGAGACTGTGCTCTCATCCTCTGGGTCGCCACGACACATCTGTGGCTCTCAGTTAGCACTTTCATTTCAAGGCCACACACACACTCCATGCACACACAGGGAGCTGCAAGGTCTCCCCTGCCACACTTTGTCATAAACAGCTGCTGAACTCAATCAAGCAGGAGCATGCTTTGCCTAAATGCTTCAAGTCTCCACATAACCACCAGGTTAAAATGTTATGACTGATTCAGAGCAAAAGACATATATGACACAATTCAGGGGAAATAGTATAAGGGAAAGGGGCTTTTGACTGAGTGAACCCCAAAGCCCACTCTATCTTCACCCCCCCAATTCCCTCTTCATCTAAAGACTGAGACCAAGGGCTGGGGACTTAGCTCAGCGGCATAAGCACCTGCCTTGCAAGCAGGCAGTCGTGAGTTCAATCCCTGGTACTGAGAAAAAAAAAAAAAAACATAAAGACTGAGACCAGTCACACCTGACAGGCACTACTCATCACAGGGAAATTGTGACAATTCAATGAGGTGACAATCTGGAGGCACTGACATGGCCAGGGCCAACCTGTCACTGCAGCTTGTCCAAGGACACACACACACTGTCATCTCCACTCAAAGGCAGGCAGACAGGCTCCATCACATGGGTTTTTTTCAAAATCATTTGGCCATGAGCCACAGCAAGAAATAATCCTTACACTGGGGCCCAGAATACAAAAAGTATACACAGTTGCCACCACTGCAATAAAAATCCCCTGCCACACTTGTGCTCAGGGCAAAGACGCACCCAGACATTGTTTCTTTCATCTCTTTCTATGTCATTTCAAACCGACTACAAACCATCAACAGGGAGGCCAGAAAAGGCCTGGCCACACTCACCCAGGGTGTCAGAGCCGCTCTCCACCGTCTCGTTGACCTTCCTTGCAACTCTGGCCACGGCCTCACCCATCTTCTTCAGCATGCAGACTCAGGTGTCCTGCTGCCAGCTCCCAGGCTGGTCTGCTGTTCACAAAGGGACCTGTGCCTGGCGAAAACACAGGGCCGTCAAGCACCCACCTGCCAGCCTGAGACACCCCCAGCACCCTCCTCTCCAGATCCCCGGGCTGCCAGGAAGCCCACAGGGAAGGGGCCCAGCCACTCACCTCCTGTCAGGGGACACAGAGCCCAGGCTACATCCAGCTTGGCCTTTGCCGGGACTGACAGGGTAAGGGCAGCTGGGCAGCTGCTTTTCTGGGAGGATCAACATGTATGACCTCACCAGACACTGGGCCCCTGGCTTGAACAGTGGTCAGGCAGGTAGGTGTGAGGACTCAGGTGTGCGCTGGCCTGTGATTCAGCGGGCAGGGTGCTGGGGAGGAGGCGCAACACAACCAGCTGCAGGGAAAGGCACATCCCAGAGCCTCTGAGCCAGTGGCTTATTCATGCAACTCCTCTAGCTCCCCTGTCCTCCCACCCAAATCTGCCAGGCTCCTCTTCCATGGCAGGAAGTAAGGACACCTTGGCAAACTGGAGCTGGTGACCTGGCAGGTAAGAAGTCTCTAGGAATTCCCTTCCCATGTGCCAAGAGCAAGGAACGGTTACAGCCTTGGCCTGCAGACCTGATTCTCAGCCTGATGCCGGGGCTAGCTGCAAGAAACGAGGAGGGGCCAGAAATGGAGAAGGAAACTGGATCACTAGGGAGAAGAGGCTTGAAGAAGGGTAAGACAAAATTCTGAGGTGCCAGAGATAAAGTCACAGAAATGTCCCAACTCCCTGTTTACGGAAGAGAAGGAAACTACATCAGGTGGCTAAGTGACCTGGCCAAGGTTGAAGGGAGTAAGAGAGTTTGAAGAAAAGGTCACACCAGCTGCACACCAGCGTTCACTGTAGAAGTCACCCACACAACCAGCAGAAGCACCCCTGGAGATAGGAAAGAACTGACGCCAAGCTCAGTGTCCTCTGACTGTGCCCCAGGCCTGAGTCTCACTTCACAGGCAGCTCAAACTGTTCCAGGGAATTGGCTCCAAGGGCTGAGGGCAGAACAGGAAGGGTAGAGAGGAGGGGCATGGATGGGCACAGAGCACAGGGCTGCTGCAGGCCCGAAGAGAGTGTGGATGGGCTCAGGGGCAGGGCAGGTACCTGCAGAGGCAGTGGTACAGGTACACCATACATCTGTGTTTCAACAAGGAGGCTGACCCTGCAGGGCCAAGACCACACTGCAGTGGGAAGAGACAGCACCTGGAGATGGGCCCAATGGCCAGCTCTGCATTCAGCAGCTGAGAAACCCTGACAGTTTCTTAACTGCTCGGAGCCCAGTTCCTTGATCTGAATAGGAGGAGATCTAGTGACACCTTGCTGAGCTCATACGACTGACCAAAACACAGAGGCCCACCTGGTTCAGAGTCCAGGACATATAAATACTGAACAAATGCCACTGAGAGGACACAGCAGCACACGTGTAATCTACCACCTGTGTAACCCTGAACAAACAACTCAGTGGACTCATCCGAGAGGAATGAGTAGAATTCCCATCTCTCCACCTTTACAAAGTCTTCCCTGATTGCCCCAGCCCCGGGGTTCTCTCCTCTCTCTGAGGTTCAGTAGCACTCAGTGACTCAGCGTAAGTCACTTGTGTTGTTTATGAGCTTTGGTGCACTCATATGCATGTGTGCATACAGCACATTCACACCGCCTCCCACAATGGGCTATGAGCAGATCGATACTGTGCTTCCCCCCCGCCCCCGCCCTCTGCATCACACCAGATACGGGTGCTTAGCAGCCCCCGCAGGAATAATGATGGTCAACAGACAGCACTTGGGTTTCCAAGCTGAGTACCGGAGACCCCTTACAACAAATCCAAGACTCAGTCTAAGTGGGAAAGGGTCATCACTCAAATGCCTCTAAGTGCCAAATGTACAAAGTGTGAAAGATGGGACAGGGAGGATAGCGGGGAACAGGAAAGCCAGTGGCAAAATATAACCCAACACCTTCCCCACGCTGACTTTAAGGCGATCCCCTAAGACCCAGTCACAGCGACGATGCTGCTGGCATCTTGGTAACTGACCTAATCCCTTTATGAATGGGGAAAGTGAGGGCCCAAAAGGGGAAGTGAATGAGTTAGAAGGAAACAAAGAACCCAGGTCTCCTAATTCCCAGCCCAGGATTTTTCCTATCACACCCTGTCCCCTCCTTTCCTCACCTCCAATACTGATCATCAATAATTAGAAGCATCTATTGGGCATCCACTAGGATACGGCATAAGAATGAAAGAGAAAAGAAATATAGAACATAGCTTGACTGCGATTCAGATGAACAACTTTCTGAAGAACAGCACTGAAACCATCCTGGCCTCACAGCAGAGAGGGAGGGGAAAGAAATCACCGGAGTGTCCCTGGTCTGGGCTACCCTGACAGCTGGCTGACTTCAGTCCATCAGACACTCTGCCTGCCGTTCTACTAGCTGCCACCAAGTAGGGTGGTACCTTCGGCCACTGTTGAAGAAAGAGTCCCATTAAAAACCTCACCCATCCTGTGGCAGACACCTAAGGTGTCAGTGGCAGTGGACACGGGATTATGAACAGGAACAGCATGTAAGGTCTGGATGTCAGAAGAGTTCACTAGGAAGAAAGGCTCCATAGCTCCTAGAGGATGTTCTGGGTACATACTGAAGTGCCCCAGATCCCCAAAAGGTGATCCAAACCATTACCTAAAATGTACTGGTAGCCACTTAAAATCATCACCCTTGCTGCATGAGTAAGAACCCACCCTTTCCTCACCTAAAACTACCTCTTCCCCCACAACAAAGAAGTCCTCCCCTGAGTCCAGCTTACAGACCCTCCCCGGGCCACACGACAAAAGCCTGCCTTCTTCCACCAGGGTTGTGAGGAGAAAGGCCAGTGGGTCACATGTTACACAGGACCAATATAAGAAGGGTAAGAAGGGTCCAGACTGAAGGAAGAACTAACTTGGGACACCAGAGGGCTAGAGTGGGCTCCTAAGGCCCCAAAAAGGCACAAACAAGATCATCTACCTTCAGCTGGATGTGGTGGTTTCTAATCCCAGCTACTCAGGAGGCCTAGGCGGGAGGGTAGCAAGTTCTAGGCCAGCCCTAGAAATTCAATGAAACTGTGCCCCAAAATAAGGTAAAGAGGGTTACAGGTGTAGTTCAGAGGAAGAGCTCTTGGGTAGCATGAGACCTTGGATTCAGTCCCTACCAGAAGGAAAGAAGGAAGAAAGTGAGAGAGAAAGAAAGAAAAAGGAAGGAAATTTTAAGACAAGATCATCTGACTAGATTCTTTGATCCTTTCACCCACCCCAAGCCCATCTGGCGGGGGTAGGGGGGGCGACAAAGAAATTTATTTAAGGTCAGGCATGGTGGTTCAGTTTTACAATCCCAGTACTCAGGAGGCTGAGTCAGGAGGACTGCCATGAGTTCAAGGTCAGTCTGAACTTCATAGCAAGACCTAGCTTCCAAATAATAATAATAGTTAATACTAATTTAGGACAAAAGCTGGTGGGGGATAGAGAAAGCTGCCTTCCTTTTTGTCATTGCTGTTTTTGAGAAAAACAAAAAATGTCTGAATCAAACAAGTGACAGAGTCATGGTTCCACCTGGAACTAAGTATAGATCCCTACCCCATGTAGGACTGCTCTGGGGTGAAGGCTCCTGTCCATTAAACAATTTAAGTCAACACATGGTATACCAGTTGTAAGTCAGTACCATCTGAACAATGGGTCCTTGGGCAGTCCCTCCAGGAACCAGACCCCAACCACTAGGACCACCCTACAGGGCTCCTTGAGGTATCTGGTCAAGCCTACAGGCACAGCGGTGGTGGCCGAGAGTCAGAGGACCTCCTAAAGAGGAGAGACAGGAACCACGGCCTCCACATGTCTGATCTGGGCCTGGGCACTGCAGTTAGAAGGCACCTCCTATCCCAAGCCCTGTAGGAGGGCAGGGGGCTTAGGAAATTTCAAGGAAACAACTGCAAATCTCAGAGACCCTTCAACAAGGACCCCATGGCCCTTTTGCACCCCACTTCCTCTTTTCCCAGAGTGTGCTCTGGGGTACACGAAATGCTTAAATCCATCATCTCCCAGGCACCTCCTGTACCACCCGCACTGCAGAGGAAAGGGGACCAGGCAGGCTATGGGCCAGAACACAGAGCAAGCTTCCCACTGGGAGGCAGAATGCTCGGCACATTGGCACAGCAGTGGTGTCAGGCCTAGACAGCCATGGCAGCATGTGACTGGGGGCCTTCCTGTCAAGCCATCCTCTGAGGAGAGCAGAGTTTTGGGAAGTTCTGTACTGTGAAGCAGCCTCATTCATAAAATGGAAATATCACCTTTCTCAACAGCATGATTGTGAAAAGTAACTGATGGTCTCTCCTGAGGAAGGACTCTGTAGACCATTAAGGCTTCCCACATGAAGAGGCTTCAATAAATACGTATCCAAACACATCCAGACAGGAAGCTTGGATATAACTGAAGGCCCCAAAAGATGCTGTTTTGCTTGGCCGGAGCTGGCATTCCGCCTGTTCAGCCAAATCAAGACCTGGATTCAAAGTTGGGTCGGGGGTTAAGCCCTGACCAATGCCCTCTGGTCCTTACCAGCAAGAACACTGTCTTATCTGCAATCCCCACATCTCTGCAGAGGAGCTCCTGCAACACCCTGTCCGCACCAGCTGCTCCTATATTTAGTTACCAGTGTGGTCAGTAGGGAACTTTAGAGCCTGGCAGCGGCTCCGTGCAGCAACCGGAGCCTCTGCGCTGTGCGGAGCCTCTGAGCTGTGCATGCAAGCTGCCCCCAGGTCTGCAGCTGGCCAGGCCTCTCGACCATGTCAATAGGGAGCAAACAGAGAGGTGTTGAGCGGTGGGCTTCCTCCGACCCTAGCACCCTCAATGAGGCCCACTTGAGGCCAGGGCAGCATTGACCCACTTTCCCACCAAAGGAAAAGAACCTACTGGGGCGTGAGCAGGACGGGCCCGCGCCTTGTTTTTGCACCCGGGGATTTGCGGAGCCGCAAACGAGCTCCCTAAACGCGCTTCTTGGCCAGCGCCCCCCAGGTCTGTGCGCGGGCTGGGCCGAGGTCTCCCTCACCCCCAAGTCCGTAACCAGTGGCTCCTGTCGCCGGTCCTCGCATGCCTGGCAGGCGGAGACTGAGAATAAAACAAAGGAGCGTAAACTGGTGACTGCGGGGTGCAGGGTCCCGGGTCAGGGACCAGAGGGTTCCTTTAGGGGGCTCTTCCCTGGGCGGGTGCTTGCATCTCCCCAGAGCGGAAGCAAACCCCTAAAGTGTGGTTTCGGAGACCAAATACACCAGCAGTCTCTCCCAACACTAGCGCCGCCCCCCTCGAGGAACGGC